AAACCACTAGTTCTATTAAATAATAAATCATACATTATTAGAATCAAACCGTTTATTTTGTGTAAAAATGAGACAAATGGTGCCTCCTTCGCTAACTTTGTCATTTAATTCTTATACTGAGCTTCCGTGCTCTCCCGCTCTTTGGAACATTTGATTGTGTATTATTGACTCAGCAGAAAAGGCTGCCTTTGAGCCCTAACAAACAGGATTAATGCATCTCCTTCCTACTAAAACATTTGTAAGACTGATTTAGAAAACACCTTAAGGCTTGCATTGTTTAATTATAAAAATATTGCTTTCAAGTGCTACTAGTGGTCAAAGACTTGACAGGATACCTTGAAGCTCCCTATTCAAATACCTACTTTTTCTATCTGTGACACCAGATGTTTTTTAAATTATGGTAATCAATCATAATAATATAACCTCACAGTGTACCTGACATTTGTCCCAGACGTCAGCTTCTTATTCCTGCATCGAGACCCTTGCAGAAGTGGTCAGAAGGCATCATTTTATGGCCTATTGATATGACTGTGAGTCGTGAACCCGCTACTGCTGAGATGATACTGTATGTAGCTGATGGCAGGTAGCTGGGAGGCAAGCTGCACCATCTGGCCTGCTTCCTCATTCAGCATACTCCACTCTGAGCCCTCACATCAATCACAGGCAAGCAGGAGTGGGCTGCACTGCCTGCCAGGGCTATTCATGGCTCTCCCGTCACATATCCGAAAAATATGCATACGCATACACCTGTCTCCCGCTGTTTCTTCTGGTGTCTCTATGAGGCAGGCATATTAACAGTGGCAGACAGTAGCTGCAGCATGCTCCACCTGTCCCGAGAAGACCACTGCTGGGAAATCAAAAATGAAATTGGTTCCCTGAATCCTGTTGCACCACGGTGCTCCACGGTGCTCATTGCAGGATTTTATGAAGAAAAACACAACTAAATCAAAATGAAAGGCTCCAGTAGACCATCTACTCTGTAGATTCATCCAGTTTACCCAAATAAAATTAACCAAAGCTAACTCTAGTAATCTTTCCTGAGCAGTGAGTGAGTACTGTACTTCCTTCACAGAAAGGCAAATTACCAGAGTGAGATTTGCCTTTTTTTCCCTTTAAAATTTTCATCCTGGTCAGACGGGTTAAGGAATGTGTTGTGTGTGCTGTCATGCAAAAGTGCCTGTTGCAATTGCACATTAAGACACACAATCATAAGCTTCAGCACAGCAGTTTTTGAAGAACACAGGAGGTGTGATTTTATTCAGCTCAGAATTGAGCTCAACCAGAATAAAAATACCTTATCTTGTAAAATCATGATATATGTATTTAATGTATTCTATTAGGTTCTTATTTGTACGATGATTTTATTAGTACATTATGCAGTGTTGAACTTTGTCCTGTCTGACATTAGTTGAAATGTCAATAGAGTTAACTTGTACAATCAAAATCAACTGGCCTTTGCCAAAGGAAAGGAAGCTTGTTCTGCTGCTGTGTTTCTGCTCATATTTTAATTCTGTATTAAAGGGTTCTCATAGACCTTTTATTATAATCCATTACATTTTTGTTCTCTGGAACAACATTTACAGCTTTACGATAGATGCTGAATGGTCGCCAAGGTGGATTACTTTTCTTTAAGACACTTTGATTAAAATGTATTTTATCTATTTATTTATTTTGCCACTTATGGACAGTGGAACAACTTTGTCTCCCATTCGATGCTGGTCAGTGAGTGTACAAGTGCAATGTCTGTTGCACCTAGAGACCAAAGCTGTTATGTTACAGATCATGTGACCCACTGTTAATATAAAATTACTGAGTAGCTAGTGCAGCACTGAAGTGTTGCTTCAGTCAAACCAAATATTTTCTTTAAATGAATAATTATGTGCAGTTGGACCAGGTATATACTGAATATGACAGAGCCTTTATTTTTGGTTTCTTATGCAAAACATAAATGTAATTAAAACAAAAGAAAAAATCATAGCATCTGGCTGCAATGCATGATGGTAGTGTGCATTTAACAAAGCTGAGGCTAATGGTAAATACAATAGTTCAATACAAATAGTTCACTTTAAGCAGTAAGAGATTAGAGGTTTTTGATTTCAAGATCAGAAGGTGCCATTCAAACCTGTCACCTTTGAAACAAGATGTCTCCAACAGATTAGTGCACGGCCACTTTAAATGCTTTGGTCTCTTCACTGGAATTTGTTTGAGGAGCTTGTTTGCTGACTATAACCTGGAGATTACCTTGTGATATTGAGTTCACTGTGAAGACTTTGGTGCTTCATTCAGACACTGCCCCTCGATCTCACAGTGCTGTCACAAACTCTTCATAGCATGTCAAGTATTTTCTGAAGTTCTGTTGCTATTCTGGGTTCCTCGTCGTTTCCTGAGACTCAAAAATTGATCTCCTCTTAGAACATCTTCACAATGTGTGAAAATGAGCGTTTGAGAGCAAGATTAGAGGTTTGTGTTAATGACCCAAATAGAAGATGGAATCTCATTCCCTTGAGAAAAAAATTAATAGTTGTTCTTTAATCATGCAAATAAGTTTGTCTTTAATTTAGATATTAATTATATCTTGCAATTTGGCAAACAGCCTCCCCCGGGAAAGTGTATGCCAGGGTACTGGAGAGGAGAATTCGACCGATAGTCGAACCTCGGATTCAGGAGGAACAATGCGGTTTTCGTCCTGGCCGTGGAACACTGGACCAGCTCTATACCCTCTTCAGGGTGGCGGAGGGTTCATGGGAGTTTGCCCAACCAGTCCACATGTGTTTCGTGGATCTGAAGAAGGCATTCGAC